CCAGGGGAGCAATGGGCAGCGGATTAGTCTTCCAAGACACCAAAACTTGCTAACAAGCCCTAGCAATTAAAAGTGTGCTATTGAAGCAGCAATATACAGTAGTTCCCCTTGGGATATACAGTACATCCCAAGATCCCCAGTGGATGCCACAGATAGTAGTACTAAGCCCTATATATATATACAGTAGTCCCCCATTATCTTGGGTTTCGCTTTCCGTGGTTTCAGTTACCTGCAGTCAACCATGGTCCAAAAATATTAAATAGAAAATTCCAGGAATAAAGAATTCATAAGTTTTAAATTGTGTGCAGTTCTGAGTAGCATGATAAAATCTTCAGCTATCCTTCCCCATCCATCCCAGGACATGAATTATCCTTTTGTCCAGCATATCCAAGCTGTGTATGCTCTCCATTTCTTAGTCACTTAGTAGCCCTCTAGGTTATCAGATGCTTGTGTTCCAGTAACCCTTATTTTACTTAATAATGGCCACATTCACATAAGTTTTATTACAGTACATTGTCATAATTGTCCTATTTTATTAGTGTTGTTAATCTCTTACTGTGCCTAATTTATAAATTAAACTTTATCATAGGTATCTATGTATAGGGGTGTGTGTGTGTATATACATACATATATATATTTATAAATGAGGTTTTAAGGCATCCACTAGAGATCTTTGACTGTATCCTCCATGGATAAGGGGGGACTACTGTACTTATGCTTTTTTGTGTCTGAATCTTACACTAGAATGTATTCTTGTGAAATGTGNTCCTAGCAAGGGGAAAAACTGGGAAAACAAGAATCTTGTCCTCAGAGTAACCTATCCTCCCCTAGCATATCGCTGGTCATGCGATTTAGACCTCCTGAGCAATCCCTCCCTAAAGATAACATCTAGGCCTCAGCTGTATTTCAGCTCCAGGCACAGAAAAGCAGCAAAACAAGACAAGTAATGACGCAGTCTGGCTGCCTCAGGACCAGCTATGTTGACTAATGACCCCTGCCCTGGCACTCACCAATCAGTGGAGAGCACGATCCTGAAAGAGCATACCTGGAAAACTGATGAATATTCTATTAAGACTCTCCCCTGAGACCTCCCCTAAGAGATGAATATGCTCAGGACAAAGGACCTAGGGTGTGCAAGGGAGTATGCCAGCACTATCTTCATTCCTTTCTTTCTAACAAGGGGACCCCACAGAGACTTGCAACCAGGGGAGCAATGGGCAGCGGATTAGTCTTCCAAGACACCAAAACTTGCTAACAAGCCCTAGCAATTAAAAGTGTGCTATTGAAGCAGCAATATACAGTAGTTCCCCTTGGGATATACAGTACATCCCAAGATCCCCAGTGGATGCCACAGATAGTAGTACTAAGCCCTATATATATATACAGTAGTCCCCCATTATCTTGGGTTTCGCTTTCCGTGGTTTCAGTTACCTGCAGTCAACCATGGTCCAAAAATATTAAATAGAAAATTCCAGGAATAAAGAATTCATAAGTTTTAAATTGTGTGCAGTTCTGAGTAGCATGATAAAATCTTCAGCTATCCTTCCCCATCCATCCCAGGACATGAATTATCCTTTTGTCCAGCATATCCAAGCTGTGTATGCTCTCCATTTCTTAGTCACTTAGTAGCCCTCTAGGTTATCAGATGCTTGTGTTCCAGTAACCCTTATTTTACTTAATAATGGCCACATTCACATAAGTTTTATTACAGTACATTGTCATAATTGTCCTATTTTATTAGTGTTGTTAATCTCTTACTGTGCCTAATTTATAAATTAAACTTTATCATAGGTATCTATGTATAGGGGTGTGTGTGTGTATATACATACATATATATATTTATAAATGAGGTTTTAAGGCATCCACTAGAGATCTTTGACTGTATCCTCCATGGATAAGGGGGGACTACTGTACTTATGCTTTTTTGTGTCTGAATCTTACACTAGAATGTATTCTTGTGAAATGTGTGTGTAGTTACAGAAAACAAACACAAATAATAAAATACCCTAAGTACCTTTCCATCAGGACATACAGAGCTAAATCTTTTTAAATTAACTGTATTGTATAGATTTAACATAATGTATCTATTTATTTATTTTTTAAATATATCTTTATTGATTTCAAAGAGAGGAAAGGAGAGGGAGAGAGAGAGATAGAAACATCATTGATGAGAGAGTCATTGATCTGCTGCTGCCTCCTGCACGCCTCAGACTGAGGATTGAGCCCGCAACCCGGGCATGTGCCCTGACTGGGAATCAAACCTCGATCGCCTGGATCCTAGGTCAGCCCTCAACCGCTGAGCCATGCCCGGCCAGGCAACATAATTTATTTAATCTTTCCCTTGTTGAAAGACACTTTATATTGACTCAGGTTTTTCTAACTTTTACAAGTACTGCAATGACTATCCTAAACTGTTTAGTTGTGTAGGCCGGCTAATTTCCTAGGAATACAATTGCTGGGTCAAACAATTTGTGGGACATTATATAGGGTTGGGCAAAAGTAGGTTTACAGTTGTACAAGAAACAGTTTATTCTTGTATTATTATTTCTTAATTATTGTATTATTTTCCATATGAACAATTGTAAACCTACTTTTGCCCCACCCTGTGTTTACTATTTAATAGATTTTGCCAAATTGCTCTCGAGTAAAAGATTGCATCAGAGTATTTCCCTCCACCAGAGTGTGGCAGTATCCATTTCCCCACAAACCAGTCAACAATATCATCACATTTCTAAATTTTGACAAACTCCTAGCTGAAACAGGGTAATATATAGTTGTTTCTACTTGCATTTCTTTGAAATTGAGCATCTTTTCATATGTTTATCAAAAATTTGTATTTCTTTTTGTGAACAACCCATTCATGTTGTGGGCACATTTTTCTATCAGGTTGCTTATTATTTTGTTAATGATTTGTAAGAGTTTTTAGATTATTACAAATTAGCCATTTGATATTCTATGCTTATGGCTTTGTTTGTTTTTTACTTTACTGAAGTTTTAAATGTTTATATAATCAATTTCTGAATCTTTCCCTTGGGTGAAGAACATAAGTTAGTCATGGACAATTGACTTCTGAAAAGCCATTAATAAGTTTCTAGTCACTTTGGCTCACGTCCTAGAGGGGCCTCCCCCACACAAGGGCCTTTCTTATGGGGAACTTCCTACTGGGGTGTCATATTTCAACATTCAAAGAAAGAGGCTGCCTGAATGGTCTATATTTAGAGTATGACTTCCCAGTGGGGACAGCTGGATGTCTAGGGACTAACTTCTGCATACTTTGTCCCTGAGTTCTGGGATTATTCTGAGGGGTTTGAATGGCTGGTGTAACAAAAGGCCTCTTTTTCCTGAAAACTGCTTGAGCTCTTGTAAACTGTGCTTTCTGTGAGGGAAAAATGACATGGATCTCAGGGGTGTTGCAGTAATTTACAGACACCACGGAGCCTCACCGCTATCTCCACTGGAACATACTGAGCACTACCACTGCTACGGTGATATAGCACGGGAATGACAGATACCAGAGATAACACACCAGAGTCATGATTAAATGAAAACACGTGCTAAGCCTCATTTCCATCAGTGGGATAAACAGGTGGTCCTTTCTAGGGCGTAATGAGACAGGCTGCTTTGACCACATGCTTAATGTAAAATCCAAATAAAACCCCTTGAATGGAAAAACGGTTAATCTAGGAAGTTACTAGTTTTCAGGCACTGGGTTCATCTGGAGCTGGATCTTCATTCAATCATCCAGGAATCATCTATGAAGAAATTCTCACACACCTTACACAAGTGCATAAGTTCAGCCAGAACTTCAAAAGACTGTAAATCACTTGTGGAAAACTTCCAAGATTAGAAAACTGAGTGTTTTTCCAAAGATTAATTTATAGATCACATTAAAAACATGCTGGTTTTGTTTAGGAAAACTTTGTATTTAAAATGTCAATAATTACTAGTCTGTTTTGAAAGCTGTGAAATCGTTTATAGCAACTACAAAACTTTTTTAATGTGGTGCAAAAACAATGTAAAAAATGAGTCTTTTGTTAATTTTATGACCTTATTTCAAATGTCAAGTGAAAATGGCTTGATAGCATTTCCAGATTACAAAAACAATGAATGCAATGTTAAAAGACAAAATAAAGGAGCATAGAAAGAAAGTTAAGCCTTCCTTAGCCTAGTTTGGCGTAGCAAGGTACCCCACGGGGAACATTGGTCTTATAGCCAAGGGAGAAAGAGAGGATTCCTCAAAGAAGCATCAGAAAAGGACAGGGTCAAGGCCTGAGGGTGGGTGGGGGGATGCAGACCGTCCCAGGTAACCAGGGAAGAACGAACCCCAGTCGCAGGGAGGTGAGGCCACTTGTGGGTCCTCAGATTCGAGAGGACCAGGCTGAGCGACGGAGGCGCGCACTGGGCCCAGCAGAGACTTGGAGGGGGAGTTCTGCCGGTGGAGTGG